AAACAAGAGGTCATTTCGCTGTCATTCTCTCGCTTTTGTGAAAAAACTCACTAAAGAAAGGATTTAATATGGAACTCGCATAAAAATTTTGCAATGCCTCAAGAAGAGGGCTCTGGCACCATTGGTTAGAAAACCCTGATCAAAACAACTCCAATTTGTGATAACTCAAAATTGTTGCCCTCTATTGAAGAAGAAAATAACTCAGAACTTCCAACTAAATGATTTGTATTGCTTTTACTGTGTCTTTAATACTTCATTTAGAACAAATGAAACCAACTTATAACCACCAAGTTAAAAGACTTCATTTCACTTTATACATCTTTCACTCAATGTTTTATTTTCCTTTTAACATTTTACTTTTCTTACCACTACCTCTTACTTGTTGTAAACTCAAAATTCATACTTACACAATTCATTTACCCTGCAAACAACCTAACAAAATAAAAAATTTATTGAAAAATATCATACACTCAACATAACTAAAACGTACATATTTACTTAAGGAACCTCTGTAGACCTCCAAAATATGAGATGATGAAAACTGCTGCCCTGTCAACTTCACCAGTTCAACCTAAGCAAGATACATTGCCAAAATAACCCTTGTGTTATGGTATTTTAAACAGAGTTACACATAAATTAAAGCCAAGAAAGGCACAGAAAATAATCAAGAAATTATGATAATCAGAAAAAAAATCCATATATATATTATGAATATATATATATATACATATATAATATATGAATACATATATTGTACCAATTGCTTTGCTGTCTTGGTTACATCCTTCTCAATCAAACTTTTGTTCTTAGAACAATTATCACATGTTCTTTTACAGTTTGCATGATCAAATTTCTCTCCCAAATGCCCAAGCTGTAGGAAACGTCGGCAATCGACATCGTTTTCACAATAACTGACCTGGAACAGTCAAATGTTAACTTTTAATTTACTTAAGTGAAATAAAAAGAGCTGATTAAGTAAGCAACAAAAAGATAAAGTTCCTATCAAACACCATTCGCAGAAGATTTTCAGTATTTGTTTCCAGTATCCTCCCTGAGTTTGCCATACGATTATACCCGGGTGTCAGGGTACCTTGCTCCGCAACTCCTTGGCTAATCATGTGCTTAACTCGTATCTGCAATAGAAATGCATAAAATCAACCAAATAAGAAAATGACATGAGACTACATTATTCCTTGCTAGTACAGTAGAACACCATCCATAAAAAGGCATTATTGTAACAGAAGATACTTACATAATCACTGTAACTATAATACAATACACAGGAGGAGCGCTGACCATCACGACCAGCACGACCACACTCCTAAAATATGCAAAATACAGTGAGCTTACAGAATCATTAAGGTAAAATCAAGTATTCTTAACCAAGGCCCCTCCACTTGTAGTGGAAGCCATGGCTTCAACCAACCAGGCAGTCTATAATTCTCTAAGATTATGTGCATTAGAAAAAGGAATTGTTAATCATTGCTAGACACCTGATGATATCCTTCAATTGATTTTGGGAGAGAATGATGAATAACAAACCGAACATCTGGTTTATTGATACCTGGAATACCTATGTTAATGAGCAACTGATTTTAGTTCAACAAAGAAGAAATCAGCAGCAGAAAATGTTACCCATTCCAAATGCCACGGTAGCGCATATTATATTGATTTCGTATTTGCTCCACTGCTCCTGGACGAAGGAACGTTGAGCAGGATCCATGCTACCATGGTAAAATGCTGCTTTATGTCCATATTCCTAAAAAAGAGGTTCACCATACCAACATAGCACAACAGATAAGCCCAGGGGAGCGAACAAAGGAAAAGAGTCTACAAGGTTACAATCATTCATATTGCTAAAATATTTCCTCACATCATATTTTTTTCTCATGGAAAAAGGCTAATGAAAAATTATTCATAAGGAATACACCAATATGACATTCTGATATGGAATATCAGGAAATTGCTGAATGTGTACCAAAGGAAAAAGGTGAATTGGGAAATTATGGGATAATTCAAAATGTTTATGGCTGATTATTTCTGTTGTAACAAAGTGCGCGCCCCTAACTAGCGTATATATATGGCTAGTTGGTGGGAAGTTCAGCATGTTCAGAAAATTCATAGTCCTAATTCAATTTCTGTATCTTGAATTCTCTCCATCTCTCTTCATTTTCTCCTTATTCTCTAAGTCTTCTCTCCCTAATTCTCGTTACTAGAATTCAAGAGCTAATGACTAAAGCTCTTGACACAATGGCATCAGAGCAGTTGGAATTCGGTGAAACTTAGGCTTCTATGGCACTAATGACTGGATCGAAAGGAAAGTCAATCGCTATAGAACAGATGAAGATGCAGCAAGTAGAAGATTCGGTAAGAGAAGTGAACCAGCAACTTACAGACTTCATAACAAAAATGTATGGATCATAGTGTCAAACCAAGCAACAGTTTGATCAAATTGTCGAAATGTTGCATGGGGGATCATGAACCATGGAGTCGAACAATCAGGCCTGTTATAGATAGTCTATTCTTATGACAATTGAAGGAATACTTTCTACCCTGGTATTGCACAATATTGAGAACACTACCTATCCTGTACGCACTCGAAATATGGGTAACCCCATGGTATCATTGCCCAAGGTGAAGATTCCTTTGTTCTAAGGTGCTTACCCGAGGGCTTTGGTCCGGCGGTCTTATAAGTATTTCATGGTTCATGGTAATCTGGATAGACAGAAGGTCGAAGTTGCTTCTCTCTTCCTGGGGAAAGTATCGGATCTCTGTACTAGAGGTGGCTGGAGCGAGAAGTGTTCGCTGAGGAACTTTGTCAATGTCTCAAGGGAGATGATCGGAAGGACTTTATCAAGGAGTTCAACAAATTGGTGCAAGGTGGGACTGTCCTAGAATATCAAAAATAGTTTGAACATTTTAGGGGCCTTGACAACAGCAGATAACCGACACTTTTGGAAGATTCTTTACCTCAAGCTTTGTCAAATGATTAAAGGCAGAAGTGGCAAATGATATGGCTGTTAAAGCTGCAGTCCCTTAATCAAGCTTTCAAGGAGGCTTTCTTCAAGAGCAATCCATTATTGAGATGTGCAGGAGTGCATATTTTGTGGGATAGAATTCCCAAAAAATTAGTGGTAGTGGAAAACCAAGGAATGACTTGGACCAAAGATACAGAGTGTTTTCAGAACTCTGCTTCGAAGTTTGCACAAAAGGAGAATGAAGGTAGACAGATTGCCAGTTCCTATTACAAGTGCTGGGTTTGCTATTACCCCAGCCATCGCTGCAAACCCAAACTATGATGGCTGTGGAGGAGTTGATCGTGAATAAGGAAGAAGAGGAGCCAAAACTAGAGAAATTAAGCTCGGAGGAGAAAGATAACATGGGACACAATCTATTCAAGCTATTGAAGGACTTACTGCTAGTAGCACTCTTAAAGTTAGAGTATTGGAGGGACACCATGAGTTGGTCATTTTGGACACTGGCAATTCACTTTCGTTCCTCAAAATAAATGCCACAAAATGAGTCAAAAATTAGGTGATTGAAAAAAGGCATTAACAGTGATGGTGGCCAACAGCCAAAAGATCGCTAGCAGAATTAAAATATCCGGATGTTTCATGGGTTATGCAGCAATACAGATTTGTTATAGTTTCATGGCTGGCAGAACACGGGTGACTGCAATTACTTTAAGGAGGAAAATTTACAGATTTTCAAATTTTTGACCAGGCTTAATGTTTTTTGACGAAGAGGCAAGATTTTAGGTCATCAACCTCTCCCCTCCATGGATGAAGCATTTTCTGAAGTGCATTGTGAAGAAAGCAGAAGTTTCATGCTTGGCAAGAAACTCACAACTGGACAAGTGGAAAACTCAGCACTAATAGGGACTGTTGCTGCTGCCTATCGTGCTCCTAATTCCCAGAACACCGAGATGAAACTGCTGCCTATCAAGTACCTAATACCCATCGCCTCCTCCAAGATGACAAACCAAGAATCTGGTATGATGTTTGTAATAAACCATGACACACTGGTGAAACCTACTGGAAAATGCACGAAAAACCTGTTGATTCACAACCTGTTGAATGGAAGAACAATAAGCCAATGTTCTGAATCATACCCCTTTTAAAGTACACAGCGTCCAGTCCACTTCTTTGAGCAAAGAACATATTGAACAACTGCTGCAGCTGCTTCCACTCCACTGACCCCTCATAGCATCCTTGATTCAGACAGGTAGTACTTTGTGTCTCTGTTTCCCTTCATTATCTGCATTACGGATCATAGATTTGGATGGCTTCTACCATATGACTAATCAATCCAATTTATTTATCTCTTATGAACCCTTTCTTTGGAAACAAAAAAAGTATGTGGTACAGATGGAAGCTTATCTCCCATCATGGACAAGCTTCAATTCATTTGTCAGAAAAGATTATCAAAAATCTGTCTTGCATGTCCCAAAAACTGTTGTTCCAATCTTTTAGCAGTGAATCGTTTATTTAAGGATTCTAATTGTTATGTTATTTTTGGTATCTCTCGTTGTGAATTCGAGGATTTGAACGCGGGAATGATGACTGGCAATGTTATAATGATAGGAGATGTCTACTACTTTTAAGACAACCAAATAGAGAATAAAAAAGCTCAGGATTTTATTGGTCGTGTTCATCCAAAACCTGTTCAAGATTAAATAATGATAAGTATAATAGACTAGGGCATCCTAGTTTTTCCTCCTCAAAGTATTGAAGGATTGGATTGCAATGTTTTGGTTTGTGAAACTTATCTTTAGCCAAAAGCCATTGGAATTTTTACAAAATTAAACTACTTATACTCAGGATTCCATTTAACCTAGACTCTGTGCTGTGGGAGATTACAAATGCTGTAAAAATAATTTTGGTTGACGTTGGTTTAACGTGAAATAAGATTGTTTGGTAAAACCTACTATAAAAAATATTGTCAATGTTAAAATATTATCTCACGTTTGATAAATTATACTATAAAATCACTATGAATGTTAAAATGATGAAAAAATTTGTAAAATAAAAATTAACAATTAAATTATTTAAATTATATCAAATATTTTAAAAAGACTTTTACTAATAATTTAAATATTTTAAAATATTTATTTTAACTTAATTGGTTAATCCGTTTTGTTCAATATAAATATAAATCTTAAATAAAAGGTACATAAATAGTTTATAATAAGTATAAAATCATTAATAATAAATTATTAAACGTAATATTAAACAAGATTCTTTAAAAAAATTATTCATCTCCCATAACAGAAGTCATATCTCAAAACACTTAACTTCTAGCTTTTGATTTTTTCTCTTTATCAAAAGCTAAAATTAAATTCCCTTTTTTTCCAAAGCACTTCTATTTTGTGTTTGGCTGCTTCTGCTTTCTTGCAGCAGAAACATAAGTCTAACAAAAACAAAACTAAGAAGCAAGCACTTTTTAACATAAAATATCAAAGAAAGACAATAATCCATCCTTCCAACACCAAATAAAAATAATGGCAGGATATAGTTTCAATAACTTCAAACCAGAACCTTTCTTAGCAAACTGACTTATTCTTCAGAAAACTCTTGAATTTTCCAACAAAAGTTTGATAGCCCATACAGATATATCTAACTTGAAAAATAGATATTAAAACTCTTGTTTGACATGAAAATAGGTAGTGTGAAAGACCAACCTGCATCTTCTCAGCAACTTTTTCACAGTCCATTCTTGAAAGACAATAAATAATCCCACATTCATCAAAATGGTTTTCTTTAACGAACTTGTTAATCTCTTCCAGGCACTTCTTTGTCTTGGGGACAACCGCATACCTGCAAGCTTCACAATGAGTCACAATTTCATCATTCAATTATAACTTATATATATTCAAAACTTACCATAGATTTGGTCGATTAAAACTTTGCCGAAAAACAATGCAGTTAACAAGACCAAGAGCCTGCACGACATCTTCCTTGACACTGGCAGTTGCAGTAGCTGTTAAAGCCAACACTGGAGTATTTGAGAATTTTTGCTTCAAGATACCAAGGCCCTGCACATTTTTCATATTCTCTGGATGTTAAGGAAAAGTTATATGGTCTTTGGAAAAGATCGCAAAGGTCTCAGCTACAACCTGGTAATCTGGTCTAAAATCATGTCCCCACTGACTCACACAATGCGCTTCATCAATAACAATCCGAGAGAGAAAGCCACGGGCATTTAAACCCTCAAGGTGACGCAACAAAACATCACTTCTGTAGTCAGAAAAAAGAGATTTCTTATATATCTAAACCAGAAAAAGACCAAATATTACAAGTAATAGGTCCATTTGGTTTTTTTCTCATTTATCTGTGTTGGGTAGGAAAAAAGAAAAGAAAAACTATGTTACGGACCATTAACCAATCCCGATCACCAAATCTGAATAAGTCCATGTCACTGTTGACTCCAAAAACAATGCCAAAATATTCAAGTTTCATTCTCTAAATATCTTGGATTTATTTGTAAGTCCCAAACCATTAGGGACATATTATACAATGTTGCCGTGCTTTAGATATTTTCCTACCTTGGAAAACTTGTATAAATGTATGCAATAAGTAGAATAATATATACAACAGAAGTTCTTCCTTCTCTTGGTCTATCTGGTCTCATTTTTTCTGATTTAATTCATGGATTACAAGAAGATCTCAGAGCAACTTATTTCAGAAAAAGAAGATCCCCAAGAAACTGACCAAGATCACTCCTGTGGCTTAACTTTGATTCTCTTTTCCAATCAGACCAAAAAAACACACTCCAATCCACCATTGCTCAACTATTCTTGACCTTCAGACTGCTCCAAAATGGTACTATTTATTTTCTTTCTACGGTTGATGGCTACTGTCCCAATTTCCTTGTTGTCTGGGCTCAATTCTAGTCAACCATAACCAAAGTTCTCCGCTTCGTGAAGATGTCAGGATCCTGGTTCATTCACGATCAGAAGATCCTTGCTTGGCAAGTTTGTAGAATGAGAGAACAGATAGGTTAGAGAAAGAGCTGAGAGATAACTAGAGAGAGAGAGTGAGACAAAAGAGGGGACAAGAAAAAAATAGAGAATTTGATTCATAGTATTCTGATAATTCCTTACAGCCTAAATCATATCCCTTTGATTGCTAGGCCTATGATTGCTTAAAGGATAACAAACTCTGCAGACCTGTACAACATAGCTGGCACTTGGTAAGGAGCTAGTATAATAGTAATGGCCAGGAGCCAAGAACAGAAATACAAGAAGGAAAATAAACAGCTAGAATTCCCTACATTTATTCGGCATCATTTTGGTTCCTAAAACTTCCCCTGACTTGAAGAATAACCTTGTCCTCAAGGCTTAGCTGTGGAAATTGCCCTTTAAGAAAATTCCAATCCTCCAAAAGAGTCTCATCTGATCCCATGTTTAGAAATTAACCAGGACTTGCTCAACAGCCTTGCCTCTGTGGTGAGCAATACAGGCTCCACCCGTATGTCCTTGTGAATCAATGAGTGGGAACTGTTCTGAATTTATGGGGTATCCCCTACATATTTCTTGAGCATGAACACTTGAAAAACCAGGTATATGGCATTGCTGGCAGGCAATTTAAGTCTATCGACATTGTACCTACCTTCCATTCCACCTGTAAAGTACACATGGCATATGTGTCATAATATAAGGTCAAAATTGAAGTTTTTTATCCCCAAGATTCTCGCCTTTATTAAATTTTAACATAATTATTTGATGATTCCAACCTTTTCAACTCCCTATCCTTATCGACTCCTTGTCTTTTCTTTAGAGTCAACTTTTGGATTTTTTGCATATGTCATCTCCTTTCTCCTCTGAATCTCGTTAAATAAATCCATGGTCTACTTTTCAAGTCCCTCTAAACTCATTCCAAGTGTCTTACTAAACCTTTGAACATTATTGAGGACTCAATTCGTGTAACACCCAAATTTATTATTTTTATTTTTTAATTTATTTTAATTTATATTAGAATTTTAATTTAATTTTTCAATATTTAATTTATAAGATTTTAATTTAATTTAATAAAAATAAAAATAATAATAATGATAAAATATGATAAAATTATTTTTGCGATTTAATTGAAATTGATTTTGGAAAAAATTGGTGAAAATTTGGATTCTGAGAGTGTTTTTTGAAAAGAAAATCAAAAACCGGGGATCAAAACGCAATTTAGAAAAGTTGTGCCACGTCAGCAGCCCAGTAGCAACCTCGGCCAACCAGAACACACCTCGTGGCAAGGAAGCTGACGTAGGAGGCCACGCGGGACGGAGCCACGTGGGCGATCCTCATGCACGCGATCGAACAGTCCAGATCTCACTCATGCGGAAGGCTCAGATCTCACACGAACGGACGGCCCAAATCTCACGCGTGCGGACGGCCCAGATTGAATCACGCACTGACGGCCCAGATTGCATCGCGATGGATGGTCCAGATTTATTCCCATTTTAATCGCAATCGGACGGTCCAGATTAAATCATGATGGACGACTGAGATTAAAAGGGAAAGGTTATAAATAACCTCACCCACACCCAACCCCAAACCCTAGCCACCAGTACCCTCGCCGGAGAAGAAGAACCAGTCAGGAGGAGCCAGCCGCCGCCGCCGCACTGGAGGGTTTTCCGACCGCCAAACGAGGTAAATTTTCTCCCCTTGGCTTATTTTTCGATGCTGAATCCGCCTATGGCCAAATCGGAGCCAAACCACCAGCCAATCGGCCGGAAAACACCGCCGAAGTCCAGCGGCGCCGCCGCGGCTTCCCTCGGTTCTTGCCTCCGATGAGGCCCTTTCCGGTTCCTATTCGATGCACTTTTTACACTACTGTGATCACCGTCCTTTTCTCTACAAGTTGACCAGAGCAAACATCAAACCGAAACTGGCGCCGGAAAAGCCGCCGCACCCGAGAGCTCCGCCGCCGGTAAGTCTCGATTTTTCGTGATTTTTTAGCCCACTAAGGGATCTATGGTTGTTTTATCGCAAAAACCAATACAAATTTGGCCGAATTCGGCCGAAAACGACCAACCCGAGGTAGATCGTCGCCGCGGGCGGCGATGCCGTCGCCGGAGCACGGCGGAGCCGCCGTGCCGGAATTCTGATATTGGCCAAAAAGGGGTCCTGGGTCTGATTTAGGGTTTTTTGGGACACGTGCAGGTACCGTAGTGCGTTTCAGTTTCCCATAAAAAATTCAGAGAATTTAGGGACAGCCCATAAGCGCATTATAGAGCCGATTTCAGGCCCCAAAACAAGTAAGGATCTCTCACCTTATTTCCTATCACGGTATTAAAGTTTAATAAATGATAAACGATATTTTATGAATTAATAGATATGTATAATTAATTAAGATTGCTAATGGAGCCCGAATCTGATGTATTTTTCGGTCAGGTGTTGTTTGATTTATTTTATAGTTTTGAATGTAGTATGGTGCCTGATGTGTTTATTCTATGGTTTTGTATGCATGAATCACAATTTCATTTATTATGATTTAAATTATTGTGAACCCGATGTTGTGTTGTCTTGTTTGGTGTCCATTACTGGTTTACGTGTTTATGTTTGATTGGATAATTGAGATTAAGAAAAATACAAAAAGGTATGTGAATTGATAAATGGATAATTTGACAGCCTAACTAGATATCCTGGGAGATGGTGGACGGACCGGGTCCATAGGGAACCCTACCGGGAACGTGGTCTCTCATATCGGACGGGGTATGAAAACTTTATGTGTTTTGGCGCCCATACCGGACGGGGTATGAGGACGACCCGTTTCACCCTCATACTGGACGGGGTATGGGGACGGCCCTAGAATTAAGTTATTAATGTGAATGGTTCACGTGTAGCGGGGACCCCCTATGGATCCCCATGGATACTGGTAGGCTGATAAAAGAGGAAATTTGTTGCATGATGATTGAAATACAAAAGCATGATATGTATTATGTTACAGAGTGTGCATGATCTTATGATGTTTATGATGTTATTGTTTCTCATAAGTTGTTTTCATGAATCTCACTGAGATAAGTGGACAGTAAAGGTTTTTATTATTGATAAATGAGTTTATTATAAATTATGCTCAATTGATCGTTTTTGTTTTCTACCAACCTTTACTTTTGTGACAATGAGATAGTGTGATGTCTTTACTGGGATAGTATAGCTCATTTCTTACTTAACTATTTCAGATTAGAAGGACTTGGTTCCCGAGCCCATTCTGCAGGAAGACGGCGAGTAAAAACCAAAGAATTTATTAGTTTTCCTTATAGCATTCATTCATAGTATTTCCTTTAAGTTAGTTTATTATTTCATACGTTTAATTCATTTTGGTTATTGTGTAAGGGATGTTAATCATAATATATTTTATTTCGCTTCCGCACTTAGAATAAATATATACATTTCCTTTTAATTTCCGGAGTCTTTACAGTTGGTATTAGAGCCGCGTTCCTCGGACCCGTCCCTTACACAATAATACTTAGAGGAATACCAAATTGAGAATTATTACTCAACCCTTCCTTGTGAAATGCAGGTGTAGAGAGATGAGGAGAGGGAGACCCCCACTAAACCGAGCAGCCCGAGATGATTCGCTTCGGGAAGATGTTGACAGAATATTTGAGATTCTCGAAAGGATCATCGCTGCTCAACAAAGGTCGAGAGGAGAGAAGGGAATTACCCGACCCTCCCCCACTACCACAGTTTGAGCCACCGCTGCAGCAAGCGGATCCCGAGCCACCCCAGCAAGAGCCTGCTCCTCCACAGTACCATCCGGCACCACCGCCGCAGTATAATTCGGTGCCTCAGCCACAGTATTGTCCGACACCGCCATAGTATAATCCGGTGCCCCCACTATATCAGTAGGTGCCACCACAGGGCCCCCCAGTCTATCCTCAGCCCAGCCCAGTCCCTCTTCCACAGGACCCAACTCCTTCCCTGATTGACCCGAGCTACGTAGAGAGGTACAGGAGACTAAACCCTTCCACTTTTGCAAGGGAGTCCTCTTTCGAAAATGCCCAGTACTGGTTGGCAGAGACAGAGAAGACTTCAAAGACCTTAGGAGTGGTTCCTGAGCAGAGGGTTACTCTTGCTTCCTACATACTGGTGGGGGAAACAGATCATTGGTAGGAGCTCAAGCAGACCACCCTGCCTACGCCAGTCACTTGGGAGCAGTTCTTAGCAGCCTTTCATGCGAAGTACCTCCCCGAGCACATCCGACATTTAAAGGAGACGAAGTTTGTTCAGCTGGTCCAGGAA